TTTTTTTTTACACATTATGCGCAAAGGTGCTAACATATGTATTTGTAAGTATATAAACCAATATGTTCCATATAAACTTGTAGATTCAGACAAAAATTAAACTAAATTATAAGCAGCACTTTGAAAAAATTCTATAGCTTTCCGTACAAAACTAATTTTAGATTTGAAATCCCTACACCCGAATAAAGTAAGATTAAGAATTCGTGTAAATGCAACAAACAATTTCTTCCCCAGTGTTACTAATTTAGTAAATTTATTCCAAATATCAAATTTTATATTCTACGATAAATATATAATTCACACTTACATTTACTGTGATTTCTAGGCACCTCCTGATTGGTTTTCAAACCCTTTACGGAACAGCAAATCTCGATTGAAAGTTTTCCTAAGGCATTAGCAACAGCGATCTTGCACAGTGCGTTCTAAGTGAAGCTACGTACTTTAGCTCCTTGTTGTTTAAAGAATAATGGGTGCTAAATGTTTAAAAGCAATTATTTTTAGATTTTTAGTGGTTTAGTGATTTGTTGATTTAGTGTTGCCTGACTGATTATACTGCATTGAAAAGGGTCAACTATTTTATTTTATAACCGTCGTTAAGCAGCCGATCCACTTTCGAGTTTACGACTACCAATGTTCATCTCGGTAGCTTTATAATTTTAAACCTAATCCTGAAGACAAGGGAACTCCTGGATCAAAAAATTTTTCTTCGTTCGGAACTTTTTGATGGAACTAATTCACATTCGCTCTACATGGAGAGGAAAAACAAGAAAACCTCCCACGGTTATCCTGGGGACAAGGGAACCGTCATGATCTGTCTAATACTGAGAATATATTTTTATATCAGTACTGTGGTCATTGCGAGCCGGATGCGGAATTCGTAAAGACCAGCCATCGCTGGGATTCAAACCCGGGTCGCATATTTAAGAAGTGAGAGCTCTATCTCCTGAGCCACCACGACACTCAACTAGTATCAACTATTAGTAAATTTCAACAAAATTCTAATATCTTCAATTTTTGTTTCTCTACCAATTTAAAAATTTTTTTTGGCAGAATGCGAAGAAATTGTGATCCAGATATAGGTGGAAAAAGGCTGTAAGCGGACTCGGGCATCCCCTCCTACTGAAAGTACCCACACGGTTTCTTAAGGGTAGTTAAATCAGACCACTCTGCCAGTAAGCCAGTCTACACAAATAGTCATTTAATTGAAAATCTCGTAAAAATATGAAAATGGTAGGAAATGTTTTGAACTGACTTCAACGACCTGGAGAAAGACAAACGAGTGGCAGCTAGAATTTTTAAAGACTATTATAAACTGCTTAAATTAATGTTTTTTTTTTGGGGGGGGGGAGTAAATTACGAAATGATTCGTGAGTCATTTTTTACACCCACATATATTTTCTTTAAATAAAATATTTATTGATAGCTCAAGACATTTTTTCCCTTTATTTTAATGACGGTCCCTTGGGTCTATTTCCCATTGGCCTCAAAAATGCCCGAATTGCTACTCTCTTATCGTTACCCAATGGGCACTTGCGGCTAAGCCATGACAGTTGAGTAGCGTCGCCCACGTCACACAAACCCGTTTATAGGGCAGGTTACATTCACACAATCACACATGCCTACGGTGGGATCGAACCCACAACCCCTAGCCCCGCAGTCCAGTGCATTAACCACTAGAACAGTGATCGGCATAGCTGCAGACATCTAGATACATCTCACTTTTGCTATCACTTTTTAAAAAATTCCAGATCGTGGAAACTCTGTTTAATTAATGAATATAATTGGTTTATGTTAATTCAGTGTTGACCAACACATATTAATTGATCAAATATTAACAATATTAAAGTAAGCGAAATTTCTTTCTGGGATTTTTATAATCGCAATTCGTTTTATGAGCAAAATTAGTTTGCGCAGCTCACTTATAAAAACAGTGTGAAATGTTTTCAATGTAGTAGGCATTGCCTTACGATATTCTGAACCAATTTCGTTTTAAACCGTTGTAAGAACCTCAAGGGTAAAAAGTTTGATTTACTCTTTTGTGATTGACTTTTTTAAAAAAAAAAAATTTCAAACAGAAAAGTGTAAAAAATGGCAAAAATGAGGATAAAAAAAAATCCATCCAATAGCAAATAAAGAAAAACTCAATAGTTAAACGCCGTTTTTGTGTATTTTAAAACTTACATCATATTGTTCTTAATTCTTTCTTACACTTTGTTCTCGGAGAGACGAAATGAAATTTCATAGTTCGAAAAATATTAAAAAGTTTATACTAGGGCTGCTAATTTTGGGAAAATACAGAATACCAGCCGTAACAACAATAAATTCTTACACTTTTGGTTTTGGGAGAATATTAAACTATCCATAAATACAACTATTTACAGTGACCAGTGGAAGTGGAGTCTCTCACGAGTGGGGGAGGTCTCTCTCATATATATATATATATATATATATATATGAGAGAGACCTCCCCCACTCGTGAGAGACTCCACTTCCACTGGTCACTGTAAATAGTTGTATTTATGGATAGTTTAATATTCTCCCAAAACCAAAAGTGTAAGAATTTATTGTTGTTACGGCTGGTATTCTGTATTTTCCCAAAATTAGCAGCCCTAGTATAAACTTTTTAATATTTTTCGAACTATGAAATTTCATTTCGTCTCTCCGAGAACAAAGTGTAAGAAAGAATTAAGAACAATATGATGTAAGTTTTAAAATACACAAAAACGGCGTTTAACTATTGAGTTTTTCTTTATTTGCTATTGGATGGATTTTTTTTTATCCTCATTTTTGCCATTTTTTACACTTTTCTGTTTGAAATTTTTTTTTTTTAAAAAAGTCAATCANTGATAATATATATATATATATAGTATTAACCGAGTCCAAATTATCTGAACCTGAATGGCTCTCAAGAATTCGAATTGGCAACTTTAACTTCATGATTCGAATTTTATTAACCATTTGCACTCCGTGTACTTTTATATGCCCAACGATCTAATATCAGTACAATAGCTGTTTTAATTCACGATATAGTATTATTACACAATATTAAAATTCTTATAATAAAGTGGTTACTAACTATTAAGATATAAAATTTCTTAATTTTAAAGTGGTGACTGTTGACGGTGCCTCAGTGGAGACATCGGAGTGCGAAGAATTGTTACAACTAACTAGAAATAGAGACATTTTTTTCTTCCAGATTTGTTGTTGTAGTTAATTTACGTCGCACTAGAGCTGCACGATGGGCTATTGGCGACGGTCTGGGAAACACCCCTGAGGATGATCCGAAGACATGCCATCACAATTTTGATCCTCTGCTGAGGGCATTTTTTTTTTAGAATTCAGGCACGAATAAATACCTATTTTTTTAATTGCAAATTTAATTACATAAATATTGAGAGAAAATTTGTAATTTTAGAAGGGGTTATGTCCCTTCATTTATAAAATATGAGGGGCCTAAAGCCCCTCTGCTTCTGTCCGGTTCTACGTTCCCTGACTATTCGTTGACTATATACGCATACATAAAAGTTCATGAATTTTCACAATCAAGGGCTTATAAACCGTCTGTATAATGAGCTCACAAGCCTGCAAATGTGTGAAAAGATGACAATTTACACCGTTTTTAGGAAATAGTTATTCTAGTGGGGAAAAGATTTATATTGATCCTGTTAGATTAGTAAATTTAACACGTTGAATGCCAAGCTTACGAATTGTTTAGAAATAGTGGTGGATAAAAATCTACTAAATTGAATTTATTAAACCAAGAATCACAACTAATAAACTACCACTTGAAAATATTTATTCGCTGTCCGGATCAAGTTGGCATCTCTGTGTATATAAATAAAACTATTTTTGTATGTTCTATATTACATTCATTTCTTCAAACCATTTTAGTAACAATAATAGTATAAAAATATTAAACATTTACTCGAATTATGTGTTTCGAATAATCTTGACTTCGCCAGTCATCGGTGACCCCCATGGCATTCAACGTGTTAATTTAATTCCATGTTTCCATAAATAATTCAAATATTCATATGGCATACCATTTCTGGTCGTACTATTTCGTAGCGAGTCTCTTAAAGTAATATCGAAAATTAAACAAAATGAATCAAATTAATTCTCTACCACTTTTTAAAATCTTTTGTCGAGAGCGGAACAGGTAGCATTTAATAAATAAAGCATAGAAAGTAATAAGTGTTATATTTATTTATACTCTCTTTAATTAATCAATTTCAACAATAGTTATGACTTATAATTCAAATTATCGATAATTAAAATTCTTATTTCCTTTCAATGCCTTCTCATGCCAGACAGTGTCAGTCGCCTACTATGGGCACAACACAGATGAAGATGGGAGGTGCCCGCTACTGCGGGCAGGTACTTCGAATCAACATATATCAAGCCAGTTCAATGGCAGTATTCAATGTGTATGCTTTCAATTGTAAACGGAAAAGAATATGCCAGAAAAAGTTGCAAATTTTAATCTCTTTTAACAAAATTTTAAATTTTATTGCCCACCACTTTATTAATTATTAGTCGCACGTCTCAATACAGGTATGTGTATCAATTAATTAATTTTATTAATTTCACAGATTAATAAACATATTTTATTTTTAATGAATAGTAGAAGACATAGATATCTTCTTTTTTTTAAAAAAAATAATTGTTTGAATGAAATGTTTTTTCTACCAGGACATAATATTTTCAGAAAATTTACAGTCCTGTTTTATACGATTTTCTAAGAGCAGAAAATACATTTGTTTAATCTGTCAACAGTTGATTTAGAAACAGTAATTGTCTAGATTTGATTGGCTGCTGCGTGCCAATTTGACTCGATTTTCTATTTTAAAGTAAAAGAAGCAACAAAAAAGAAACGAACAACAATTCAATAAACTGGATTTAAATTTTTTTTTTTTTTTTTTCATTTTCAAAGTTCTTTAACAATTAGTCATCAATGGGGGAGGGTAAAAAAAAAAGAAGAATAAGCGATGGCGCTGATTGTCGCCAGTTCCAAGCGATCGAAACGAGCCTCAAAGTCTCATATGAGTGGCGATTCGTGACGGTCATTTTCCCAAAAGCGTGTTACGATAGCAACTAAAGATGTCTTGCGAAAAGAAATGGCTGCCTTTAGAATCCAATCCAGATGTAAGAATTTTTTCAATTAATACATTTATAAAATTTTTAGAATTACAAATATAAAAATTAAATAATAGTATTGCCTCGAAATTAAGTACTCAATTGACAAAACTATATTTAAATCATATATATTTTATGTATACAAACAATCATTTTCACATTTTCCTACCAAAAATGCTTGTTATTATTTTTTATAACAAATATAGAAATTAAGTTATAGTTTTAAATGTCAATAAAATTGGTGAAAATTATCATAACTTTATTTAAATAATTATGCCACATATATGTACAAATCAATACCATATTTTTCATCGTCTACTATTCTGATCATTTTAATTAATTTTATGTAATAATAAAATAAGTTAAAATTACTTGTTAGTTTTTATGTGGTAGGTATAAAAAATGGAAAACAAAAATAACAAATCACCTAGTAAATGTCTCAATGATGACTCCGTAAAATATTGAAACATAAATAGTTAAAATTAGATTTCTTATTTATTTAAGAACTTTAAATATGCCGCAAAATTAATTAACAATAAAAATATATTGTTAAAAAAACAAACTGTCATTTAATTATTACAACTTTTAGAACAGAAGTACAATAATCTAATCGGTGTCCAGTTATATAGCTGTCAATTTTGCGCTTTTTGTGGAACGTTTTCACTGTTGGAATAGAAAAAATAAAAAAAAAGAATTAAATTAGCACACCCTCCAACTGTTTCAAAATTTCTACAGCATAGCTATCATATTTTATGATTTTTCAGGAATATCTTTCTTGTTAGTAAAAACATTTCAATGCTTAAATATTTATTTAAAAAAATATTATTTAAAGTACCACTATAAATTTAATATTATAAACATAATTATATAAAACATATCTTTTATAATTTGTGTAGTAAACATATCAGTAACTTTAATGATAATTTGTGTAGTAAACATATCAGTAAGATACCTATCTGTTACCTATATATACGTTAGTAACTTCAACAAGTGGTATAATTTATGGTAAGGTAGGCTATTGTAGAATAATATATTATTCCTAATTGAATACGTTTGATTTACAGAACTTAGATCGCAACTATTTATAAATATAAATAATATAAACTCAGATGTATGTAAAACCAAGTAGCAAATCACCATGGATGCCAACTGCTCCGATTTTTTGGAAAGTTTTAATAAATTGAATGGGTTGCGAAAAAATATCCAGAATAAGGATAATTACGCCTACTTGATATAAGAGTAAACCCGAGATAGTTGCAGTTAAGTTACATTTCGTATGATAGGTACTTCGAATTTCTGATATGAATTTTGGTGGAAAAATTACTTAAAAAGATAAATACTAAACTAAAAATGGCTTAAATTTTGTTACCACTTGAAATATCTTTTTAAAAAGTTGCATACCTGCCAACTTTCACTCCTTCCGAGAATGGATTTTCAGAGTGGTTGTAAAACAATAAACGAAAATCAATCTGATTCAACAATATATTTATATTTTGGTCCCGTTGAAATTTGCTTGCGCAAACTGCGGAAACTAATAATTGGTGCACCGGAGTACCTGGCCAAAAAGGCCACCTCCGTAAATTATATGATTATAAACTGAATCAAAGGCCATTGATATTAAAATTATTTGAGTTAGTCAACTTAATGTTAGTTGTTAAATAAAATTAAGGAAAAGAAAATAGAACAGGGATAACACAGACAGGTAATAACATATATATATATAAAAAAAATAAATAAATAAAAATTAATTATTTATTATAAATCATTATTTATATTTTATATATAATTATTGAAAAATAAGCAGTTTAGTGATTAACATTGTTAGTAGTTGTATTAGTAAATTGAATCAGAATGAGCCGCAGTAATTCCGCGAAGTATTGGGCCAACCCAAGAAGGTGGAAAAGGGTAATAATGATGATAGAGGAGCCAGTCAGAGGGATAGAAAAATCATCAAACGATGTCTTGGAGATTATTATAGTAATGGAGAATGGCCTTAGGCCGTCTCCTGCACTTAGGGTCATCTGGGTCGTAGTTAGAGGAAGACCATATAAGGGGGTTGAAGTGTCCAGTGCTCTTAAGAAAATACTTGATAGAACTAATTTTGAATAAGTCAAGAAAGCTAGGCGTACAGGTGACATAACGGATATTTTTATTCCTGAAATACCAGGTGGAATTTGAGATATTGAAATTTGCTTGTTCAAGGATTCTTATGTTTTTATATATTTATTGTAATTATTTATATGTAGTGGTGGTCAGACTCATTTATAATTATCATTATAATTCAAAACGTTAATTGGAATAACCTGAGTATTGCTACCACTTTAAATATGAAAATAAATCTTCCGGAAAATCCGGAAGAGTTTACAGGTATGAAGATGAGCAAGTTGGCATCGCTGAATCATGAATATGTCACTGCACTGTTCTACCAAGGGATGCCACGAGCTCGAGCTACTAAAAAAGTGGTAAAAACGATTAAAACTAGCAACTTTTTCCAGCATATTTCTTTCAGTTTACAATTGAAGACATATTTAATGAATGTTTTCAATTTAAATACGAATGATTTGCTCTGTAAGTCATGGTCGTTGCGATTGAATAATTAAATAGATTAAATAAAAAAATTGAGTTTTTTTTTAATATTTTTAGTCGCTCGTGGCATCCTTGCCTACCTCATCGACCAAGGATGGATAGAAAAAAGACCTGTCCACTGCCTCATTGTTAAGGCACCCAGCTAGTATATAATATGAAGTAATCGTGAAGTAATCGTAATTATTTGTGATAAATCTGTGTAGGGATCCAACTTTTTCGGATTTTGTAAAGTGGTAGTAGACGATGTAGAATTTTCTTTAATTTTTAAAGTGATTTTACAGCGCTGCCAACTACTACTTTTTTGCAACGTATTTTATATAGTGGTAGGCATTTAAAACCCAAAGCTTTCGGGATTTTTGGTGATTTTGCGAACATTTTAAAAGCCTCGCCACAAAAGTGCTCGAACAAAGCGGCGTTGCATATGAACTTTTGAATCATTTACCTGTAGTGGGGTGAAAAATAGGTTTCAATCGATGAAAAAAAAATAACATGTTAAAACATAAACTTAGCTACCACTAGAAATTTTTTTTACAAAATCCGTTGAAAGTTGGTAACCATGTAAAGATATAAAGTGGCACCTTACTTATATGCTTAAATATGTCGTGGTGGGAAGAATTACTATAATTGAAATTTCGTAAATGAATAAAAGTTTTGCAACACAAATTTCGCTATCACTAGAAAATAATCTCTGAATTTGTAAAGTAGTAAAAAATTATTTTTATCTCGCTGGTGGTCAAAATTATTTTTATAAATTTTTGCCTAAAATGTTTCGTAAAAAGACAGTTCTTTCCAATTATTTCCTTGCACTGGGTTGCCGCATGTGACTATAAATGTAAAAAGTGGTAGAGGCTGGTTTCTCTTTTTTATTTATTTATTATCTCTTTAACTATTCAATTGTAACTACCACTTTGACTTTCATTTTAAATTATTCATATTTAAAATTAAACTTGACTTAATAAATTTTTATTAAGCATTCTTTTAAAAGTAAGTATTTAAATTCTATTAATCAGCATTTTTGTTGCTATTTTAGTCGCACCTGGCAACCCCATTAAAGAGCAAATTCATTTTTCAAAAATAATGAGTCCTTCTTTTTAATGTAATATATTAAAATATCGCGCGTAGTAACTGCGAAATATTTTTCTTAGCGGTTGCAAAGTTTTTACTTTAATATTTTATTCTTGATTTGATAAATTGTATTTAAAAAGATTTAAGCTGTCACTACCTATAAGCAAATTAAACTTAAGTATAAAAAGTCAATAAGCATAAAAGTCAAATAACCTTTATTAATGATAAGCCATATTTTCAAGGAGAACATTTTTTCTTGAACAGCTTTGAGGAAAAACACCACGATTTGTGCGTAGGCAAATAGTTTCTCGTATTGTTCTACTGTCTGGTAGAAACTCCGGAAATTTGCAAAGTACCTGTCAAGAAACAATAATATGGAGTTCAATGTTGAAATATTACCCATGAAAAAAATGTAGCTTATCTAAAATTGCTTCAAATCAACTTTAATATATTTAGGATCAACCTGCTACAAACGGTCTTATCTGTGTGGTCTATGTTGCAATTAAGTCTATAAGGTGGGTTGAAAGTAAAGAGGAGAGGAAGGGAGTAAAATGAGCTCCGACTATTCTTAATTATAAACCATTTGTCACTATTTACTTTCTCTCGGGTAAGAAACCGGCCAATTTATACGTTATAACAGTTAAAAAGTTTTTATTGTGATGGATATTTTATTCTTCCCGAAAACAAGCTGAAATAAACTAATTTTCTGATCTGTTTTTGCTCTTTTTCCGTCTTGATTCACAAAAGATATATGAATTACAAAATTAAACATTACAAAATAGGATACACAAAAAGAAGTTATGAATTGCAAAATAGAAATGCAGACACTTCTATACTAAATTTATATTTAAAAAAAATCTTACTTTTAGCAGCAAATGTTTTTGGAAGAATTTGCATTGCAAAGTTAGAAGCACAATTTTGAAGATCATACTTGAAGTTTTTAGAAATATTGTCTTTTTCAAACTTTCAAAATTTCCATCCACTAAAATAAACGTAAAAAAATTTAAATCTTCTTTGTTTTCTTTAATACCACTATTTATAAAAAAGCATTCTAAAATAAATATTACAATTCTGAAGAAGAAGATTAAAATTGTTGTTGTTGTTTCTAATGCTACTTGCCTACACCAGAAAACCAGCTTGGTGAAATCAAGCGAATTTAAGGCAGAGGGTGCATTTCTTGCTTTTCAATGGTGCTATCTATGACCTACCACTTCAGCAAAACACACGCAGATCCCCTTTTTAAATGGGAGGCCCATTCATATTTACATTCATTCATCCAAGGATCGTTATTTTGACTTGAACCAGAGAAAGATCAATCTCTAATTCAGTACCCCAAAAGGTATGATTTGTCATGCGGATATGGCGGACTTTGTGACACTACAGATTTAGCGCGCACCAGACACCTTTCACTACTCGGGAAAAATAAAGTAATTTCCATGCGCTTTAAGTATGATCTTTCAAATTGTGCCAGCAGTGTTGCCATTAAAAATCTTCCTAAATATTTACGGCTAAAAGAATGTTTAGATAGAATTAGTATTAGAACGTTTGCATAATTTTGCTCAACCCCCGTAAATAAACTTTCAGCTCTGTCTATGAGTCCTTGCTACTCCATTCCTTCATATTATGTTAGTTTTTTCATATAAATAATGTTTTCAATTCATGTAGATTATTTTTATGAAAATAATATCCATTGTTAATAAAAAAAATAATATGTATTGTAATCTGTATCTATTGTAATATCTATTGCACAAATTACAATTATTGTTCTTTTCTTTTAGGTAATGAACAAGGTAGGTGGATAAAAAACTATCTATTGTCAAACAGTCAAAAATACTGCTGATTTTTGAAGGAAAGTATTGTTTTCCCGTAACAAATTATCCCTTTTCATTTTCATTCAATATACTATCAAATTTTTATAAAAAATACAGTTGTAAAAAAAAAATTTCAAAATTGTAAGCCAATTTTCTCGAATTAAATATGCCCTTTTTATAAAACAATATCGATTTTTAACCATCAAGTAAATTAATTTTTCAAGATTGATTTCATTAAAAGGGTAATTTACGAAAAACTTTCGAACTGAATGATAGTTTTGCTGATGGTGAATATCAGCAAAATGCATAACATTTACATACAGCATTTTAGTTGAAAGTTTTTTCTTTCAAAAAATCATATTTAGTAGTGAAACTTCTCTGGAACGACCACTCTCTGTTTCACAGTAAAATGTCCGTTGGTTGTTCTTAGGGGTTACCTCCATTGACTTCAAGATGTTAATAAAGGTACATGATATTTCACTCGTCATTATTTTAATTTAACTCGGTGTCATTTTCTTGGTGCTTAAATGACGTTGGTGTTATGAAAACCGTATTGATCAATAAAATTTACCGTCAATAGAAATGTCACTGATATAATTTATGCGTAAAAACAAATTTACCTATAGGGAACTATAAAACTATTTTAAACAAATAAGTAATTGTGTTCTTTGTTTAAGACGTTCATGCCGGGTGTTGCGCCTGAAAGCGGGACGGAAAAGAGAAAATACTTGTAGAAGAACTGTTATCAATCTTAGATAATATTCGGGAGGAGTTAATCTATTCTCAACAATAACAATTCACTGTAAGGAAATTTATCATCATCATCAAAATATATCTGGGCGCCTGGGGCCATTAGCGGCCTTTTGCCCATTCGTCTTGGATTGTGATCTTTAAGGTGGTTCTTTCTGATAATTGGAATGCAATTGTAGTATAAGGAAATTAAATATTTTATATATTAGTTAAAATTAAAATTTATCACGGTTGGATGCTGGATATTGGGGTTATGTCGGCGTTTGGCGCGAAGTGCCACTAACCGATTCTGTTTTGTCGTATTCTAGGAGGTCCTAAATATCTTTGAAGTTGTAGTATGTTGTAACGACAAATCAAGTCCTTAAAGAAGTAAATCTTTAGTTTTGAAGTGAAAATCATCTTTGGAATTTATCACGGCAAAGAAGCAATTCAATATAAAAATTGCATCCGTTAAAAACAATTGGTAGTTATGGAATTTTTTGATTCCCGAAAAAAAAACTAAAAAATGAAATTTATTTGCTACCAGTTTTTACTCCGGTGCTCCGCCCGATGAGACAATCTAGCGTGACCCACCGGTGAGTCACCCCGGCGTGAACGTGTTAAGCTTGCCTTTAATTTCATATCATGAAATTTAGTTTACTTTTAGAAACGAGAGGTTTGCTTGTTTCAGATGCTTAGTTTTTCCTAAAATAACTTCCCCAGCTAAACAGAACAGAATTTTTTCGAAATCATCAGAACAATAGCAGCACTCTATTGCAGTGATATGCATCATATTCCCGACATCAATAACACATACATTGCCTCATTTTCATCATATCAGTTTAGCTAAAGTTCATACTTTCACAATATAGTCCTATCACCCTACTGCATATAATTACCCAGTCAGAACCTCAATGATCCACATGAATAATCCTTTACTTTATTTGCATTCCACAACCTCATCGAAGCACCACGATGATCAAGCGAAAGATGAATGGGAAAAGGGCCGCAAGAGGCCTCAAGTGCCCAGATGCTTTATGCGGTTTAATTTTTTCGAAATCACCCAGCCATATGGTAGAAGATAAACTTAAAATGACTGTTACTACCTCTCCCATACTCTCACCATAACTTGCCTTACTGTCAAATTCCAGTCACAAAAAGGTATCACTTCACATGAAGGAGTCAGTTGTCCGTTTCGGTGGCAGGTGCTCCGAATTCCATATCAGTCGAAGTTTGTAAATACATTAACAGAGAGAAATATGCTAAAATAAGTTCCTAATTATTATCTCTTCTAATAGATTTTTGCATTTATAATAGTCACCACTTTTCTCATTTTTACTCACCCGTTGCCTTGCAACTGCTTGATTTTAGAAGCAATTGCATACCTGCCAATTCTTCCGGATTTTCCGAAAGATTTTGTTTTCATATTTAAAGTGGTAGTAAATATATACCATTTTTTCTTTTATAAACTTAATTTTCAAATGATTTTGATCACCACTATTCTTCCAAAAATTAAGCACATGTATTAATATGCGTTACTATCATGGTTGTCAATTTAAGCTTTCTCAAATACAACGCATTTGCTTGCTTAAAATTGAAGTTTTAATTCCATTTTAATACCACTGAGAAAAATGATAATGGAAGGGATTAAAAGTTGGCAGGTATGCAATTGTTCTATGTGTGATTTCAACAAACTATTAGATATTGATTTTATCGAAAACAATAGAAACTTCAGCCCGATCACCGCTTTTTTCCTGAGCGACTGCGTTCTATCTAGGCATTTCATTTAATCTTTCTGGACAATCTCTGCACTCTACACCAATGAAACCCTGCTACCGGGAGGAGGCGAGGGAGTGCAGAGGGAGTCCTCCCCATTTGTAAATATCTTTTCTTCTGTAAATGTCTTATTGTTTTTATTATCTTATGTACCATTTGCGACTTATATTTAACCCAGATTTGATTTCCCAATTGTATTTATATGCGATTTAACAAATGTTAAGTACCGCACCTCCCTTCCCTTCCCTTCCTTTTACCTAAACTCGATGAAGGAGCAGATAACCGTCTAGGATAGGCACTCCGAAACTACTTGAATAGTTAGTAGCAGTAGAGTAGTTTAGAAACAATATAGATTTTTATGTAACTAATATACAGTTTGATTGATAGGGATATTCAGCTTCTCCAATACAAATGCTAAGAATGAAAGAACACAGTTACCAGTCTTTAATCTTTTGAAGAACACAACACGTTCCAAAAATTAAACATGGTCATTATAGCAGTTAAAGAGTTGTGTTTATATGTGCGTCTTTGGTTTGGCAGAAAATTTCAGAAATTTTTAAACGTTAATATCGATGAAACCTATAATTATTACTTTAAAAAATCTTTTTTTTTAATGAAATTTCTAGGTTAATTTTAAAAGTTAAAGTTATCGAGAAAGTTTTTAAATATCATTTATTATTACATACCCTCCAACTTATGAGGATTTTGAAAATAATTCTTTCTAGTGGTAGAGAACCAAAGTAGAAATTTTTAAAGCAAATGGATCTCTCATAAAACTTTTATCAGAACTTAAGAATCTAGCCATATGGCCTGTACTTTTATAAGTAATAGTGGACAAGTTACGCTAAAATTAATTTTTTTAAAATATTAAGACATTAATTTTGCTACCGTCTGAAAAGAAGATTTCTGAAACTACGGAAATTCCGTAGCAGTTGGAGGGTATGAAATCTTATGAGGAAAAATTATTTTTTTTTTTTAAATTTCGGGAAAATTTATCGAATTTCGTTCCGGTTTTTTGGTTTTCCGGTTTTCTGATTTCCAGATAACGGGTTCTGTACGTACATCCAAAAATTATCCCTATGCGAAACATTACCGTTGCTTGTCAGAAAACTTACAACGTGCGCGCTTCTCTTTCTCTATTCTAATTTCTAAATTTATTAATATTTTTATTGAGAGCAAAAGTATTTTTTTTTTTACTCAGTAGACATGCCATTGAAATTTCGAATAAATTTATATCAAACGATATTAAATCTCATCTTTTTGTTAGTTAAGTTTAGTTGTTGTCAAGGGGTATGAAATTTTGCTTCACTTTAATACAAAACACACTTTAATACGAAATCCCTCTATTTACGCTTTTACCTCAATTTGAGCTTTTAGTTTCATATTTTGCAATCTTGTAACCAAAATATTTTAAATCAATCTTGAAAAATTTCCTATTCATGTAAGTTCATTTTAATTCGCTACCAAATCTATAGATTTCGTTTTATGTTTTATTCTGTTTTTTATTTACATTTTATTTTCTGTTGTTACGCGATATTTTTATTTAATGTATTCTATTTTATTTGTTGTAAACTTTTTTGAGTGCTCCTCACACTACTGTATTGATATATTTTGCTTTGGCTATATTGATACAATATTAGAAAGCACCCCTTTTTATTGACATAATCGTGGAAGCTGATAAAAAGATTATATCTTTTATTTTCCGGATTTTGTTAATTTTTTCCGGTTTCTTTTTTTATTTTCATTATTACTTTTCTTTTTTTTCCCCTTTTTTCATTGTTCTGTAATTTTTCTATGTTTTCTCTACATTTTGAACTTATATATGTTTAGAAAAGTGAATGCATAAGAAGTTTTTTTTAAATGTAAATAGTCAGGGAAGCCATAGGCGACTAAAAATTATGTTAAAAGTGGTAGAAACTCAATCCACTTTTATGTATTTATCATACTTTTAATTATTTAATAACTACCACTATGACTTATAGTTCAAATTAATAATTTTTAAAATAAAAAATTACTCGTTAATATTCCAATAAACTGAAAGGAATATTCAATAAATTGTAACTAATATTAATTTCTTCAATTAATTTTATTAGTTATTACTTTTTGGTCGCAGGTGAGAAGCAATAAAAAGAGTAAATAATAAAAAGAGTATAATAAAAAGATAAATACTACAAGAGGAAATAAAAAGAGTAAATACTAATGTGTGATTTTCAGTCTTAAGAAGTTTATTAAGAAATTTATTATTACGCATTATCAACTTCCGTCGACAGTTTTTAATCTATGACAGCCAAAAGGATGATCCACCATAAAATCTAAATTTAGTTAATATAGAAGCAACATTTTAAATAAAAAAAGTGGTAGTTTAAATTTGATAATTATTTCTAAAACATAACTTTTTTAATGTTTTTTGTAAGTACCGTATTTCTTAATGCAAATTTTTGGAATAAGATAGTGTTTTAGCCCAGAAATTCTTTGATATAATGGAACTCAGACCTAAACGGTTACTCTTCATCTCGATGATCCGTCCCATCCTGACTTATGCATCTCCAGCTTGGTGCAACATCTCCACATCACTCCTTAAAAAACTCAAAATATGCCAGAATAAAATCCTCAGGAAAATAACAAAAGCAAGATGGTTTATCCGCAATAAAAACATACATCGCGACCTCAACATAGATTTTTTAGATCATCATATTGCAAAGTTAAATTTCAGATTTTTCGAAAAGACCATAAATTGTGACACCGCAGGATTCAACGAAATTTTTACTTTTGAAAACTTAAGAGAAGACATAAACCTCAG